AAACTCTCTCTGTCCTATGCTTATGAAATTCTGATTTTCTTTTGAGTTCCAATTTTGTTTTTCCATAAATGCTAGACTTTGTTCTTGGAATGCTTCATAATGTGGTTTGGAGCCATCATTTTGCCCTGCTGAAATGTTTGAATCTTGGGTTTGCCTTTCTCTTTAGCACAAGTGAAGCTGTCCTCTGTGTCACTATGCAAGGCAGGGCCAATGAGTGCTCTGGGGTATTCACCGGAGACCTATCAGCATTCTTTGATTTCAGGAATCAAAGAGCCACAAGTCCCTTTAATCGTACTATCAGATGGCCCATAGTTCTTTCTCCCTGCTGACTCTGAAGCTATTGTGATGGATTCTTCATGATCCCTTTGTTACATTTTTGCCTCCTCTCTTCAACAATCACTGATGGAGGCCTAGCCTGGCTTGCATTTTACATATGGGAAATTATGATCTGCCCACAGTCACATACTGTATGAGAGAGCTGGCCTTCTGATCTGCAGAATCATGCTCTTTTGATTCCATCTTGCTTTTCTGCACAATTCAAGGAATTCATCTCTTGTTGCTTTAACAAATTACTGCAACGGTGGCTTAAGCAATACAAATTACTTACTTCAAGTTTTAAAGCAGGGCACTGGTGGCACATACCCATAATCCTAGCTACTCAAGAAGCTGAAGTCAGAGGATCTTTATTGGAAGCCAGGCTGGGAAGAAAACCAAGGCTCCATCTCCAATTAACTATTAAAAGAAAGCTATGCTGGGGCATGGCTGAAGTGATCAAATGCTAGCTGTGAGCAAGCAGAACACGTAAGCTTCAGACCCTGATCTCAAGCGCTAGTTCTGGCAAAAAAAAAAAAAAAAAAAGGTGGAAAGGAAAATCTGTTTCCTTGAGTTTCTACTTTCCAGAGGCTGCCGGGATCCCTGGATCCCCTTTCCCCCTTCAAAGCCAGCAAATGAGGGTTGAATCCTCACAACGCACCTCTCTGACCCTTCAGGAAGCACTTCCCTCCTCCTGAAATCTTTTCCCAAGGCTAAGAAAAGTCCTCTCTTGGGGGGAGGGGGGAGGCTGGGAAGGGATGGGAAGGGTAAACAAAGGAGGAGGCTGCAATGCTTGGTAAGAAATGTACGCATTATCCTGCCCATGCAATTGTAACCCCTCTGTACAGTATGTTCACAAATAAAATAAAATAAAATTTAAAAAAAAAAGAAAAGTCCTCTCTTTTAAGTGAAACAGGATGAACTCCTCTCTAAAAAATCTTCGGTAAAGCGGGAAGGGGGCACAGAAATGGAAGGACACAGGGTGAACAAATGCAGCAGCGGTACTCACTAGACATTATGTTGAAAATGAACTATACAACTTGTGGGTGAGAAGGGGAAGGAAAAACTGGTAGTGAGAAAAGGGGCGACACGGTCCAAAAAGAAACGTACTCATTACCTGACATGTAACTCTAACTCCTCTGTACATCACCTTTATAACAAAAATAAAAAACAAAAAGCCTTCGATGAGGCACATTGACATTTTGTCAGGTAAATGAACTATTCATGGGCTTCAGCAATTAGGATATGATCATTTTTGTGAGGCTGTTATTCTCTGTTACCCTGTCAGTAGATGAGGGCTGGCAGAGGCCAGTGGGTTACAGTGATGGCAGACAGATATAACCTGACTCAGTCTTGGGAGACTTCCCTGATTTCCATGTTGACTGGACTATACCAGACAAGCCCCTTCTCATGCAGTTCTCTGAGTGCCCTCACAGTTGGACTCCTTTCCCTGGTCAAGTCCCACAACCAATACATCCAGTATAAGAAGCAGTGAATAGATGGGGAGAGGGAAAGAAATCTGCTTTGGTGTTCGTCCTCTTGGATCTCAGATGATGACTTTTTGGACCCGGTAAAGCTGAAATGTGCAACACTCACACTTCGCTCTTAAAAGCCCCAGTGTTTCTGATATTTAGGCAGTAGATATTATCCATACAAGAGGATCACAGAAGGAATTGCAGAATGTCATGAGAGTATGACACTATCCCCAAAAGGACCAAAGAGGAGAGAAATACAGACCCCACCTGGAAAAAAAAAAAGCCAAGGCAATGAGGTGTGCAGTGTAGCCAACCATCTGGGTAACTGTGTTGTGAGCCCCTGTGAGGGTCTTGTTGGCTGCATTCCTGCCAATTTTGCTTTTGATTGCATAGTGAAGTGTGGCTTTGGCATTTTAAGGAGAATCCAGGTCATGTTCGCCTGTGTATTGGTTTTGAAAACTGGGACATTTTCTGCAATTTATGAAATTCTTGAGAATTTCCACTCTGCCCACCTCACCCTCCACACCACAGACACAGTGCCCCACCCATCCCGGCTGCCAGCTGCTCTGGGCATTCATTCTTACTAGCCCCTTAGGCCTCCAGGGAGTAATCTGCACCCACTACTATTTGTATCTGAGGGAGGTCCTGTCAGGGTGCCCCAGGGAGGGGAGCAGCTGTTGGAAACTTTAATCAAGCGGGGACTGTCAACAGCTGCAGGGACTCCTTAGGAAACAATGAACTTCAGAAAGGAAATAGTTGTAAAATCTGTTGCCATGACCTATGACAACTTGTGAAAATGATCTCATTCCTGCTGTGACAAAGGTAACCACTCTCAGGCTGGATGTCGTGACTCACGCCTGCGATCTAGCTACCTAGGAGTCTGAGAGCTGAGGACTCTGGGTTTGAAACTAGCCTGAGAAGAAGTCTATGAGACTTCTTTTTTTGTCGGTCATGGGGCTTGACCTCAGAGCCTGGGTGCTGTCCCTGAGCTTTTCTGCTCAAGGCTAGAGCCACAGCTTCACTTCCGGTTTTCTGGAGGTTAATTGGAGATAAGAGTCACATGGACTTTCACTGGCTTCAAACTGTGATCTTCATATCTGAGCGTTCTGAGTAGCTAGAATGTCAGGTGTGAGACACTGGTGCCTAGCTTTCTATGAGGCTCTTATTTCCAGCTAAAAGCCAGACATGGAGTTATAGCTCAAGTGGTAACACACCAGCCTTGACTGAAAAAGCTAAGGGACAGTGCTCAGACCTTGAGTTCAAGCCCAGTTTGCCCCCTGGCTCCCCCCCGCCCCCCCAGGATGAGTCCGTGTGTCTCATCCTTCAAGCAGGCTGTGACAGCGCCTGCGCACACAAAGCTCTGGGGATGCGTGTGTACATGTGAGCACTTGCACCAGCAGGTAGATACTTGCCTCTTCTCAGAGACACTCCTCAAATGACAGGCGTGCTACTCTGCCTCTGGGGCAACTTTCTTCCGAGTCGGCTGGATGGCCCAGCCGTGCTGGCCTGCCACACATCACGGGTCACATAGGCTGTTAGTGTGCGGTGAGGAGGGCTCTTCCCTTTCCCCTCTCCACAGCTGCCTAGGGCTTTCTGAGGGGCGGAGATGCCCCCAAAGGGGTGGATTTTTCTCATCCTCAGATCTTCTCTGGCCTTAAGTCTTTCCCACTCTCAGATGCAGACTCTTTTGGAGTTCCCTGGAAGGGGCACTTCCCAGTGAAAGAACATCTAAGGAGCGCCAGTGGCTTCTTCCCTTCTCTGTCTTTTTCTCTCTTCCATTAACTGGGCTCTCACCACTTATAAGGATCTCTGAGCCCCTGGGGTCTCCCCCATAAATGCCTCTTTCCTTGGGCCTGGGTATAAAGGAACAATCTTGGGGTGTGAATATCAGTATTGGAGACTGAATCCATTGCATCACATTCATACTCTCCCACTGAGCTATTCCTCCATCCTGCAGTCCCTTTTAAAGGATAAATCTTGCTAAGAAATCAAGAGGAAAGGGGCTGGGAAGGTGGCTCAGTGGTAGAGTGCTTGCCTTGCATCCCTGAGGCCCTGGGTTCGACTCCTCAGCACCACATAAGCAAAAAGAAAAAAAAGCCGGAAGTGGCGTTGTGGCTCAAGTGGTAGAGTGCTAGCCTTGAGCTGAAGAGCTGAGGGACAGCGCCCAGGCCTAGAGTTCAGGCCCCACGACCAGACCCCCCCCCCAAAAGGAAAGAAATCAAGAGGAAACTGCTCTGTCTAGGAGGAAGTCATAGCCTTTCTAGAATCCTGGCACCTCAGCCCACATCAGCTCCCTGGCTCCCCACAAGAAACATGAGGTTCAGGGCTGCCAAGCTTCCCAGAAGTGCCTAACCACGTGCCCCTCCCCCTCAGCCAGGCTGGTCCTGGAGTGTGCCTGCCTTGTGGGATCTGTCTGCTGGAGTCAGCTCAGGTGTGGAGACACAGGGTGTCACGAGGCTGGCAGAGGCAGGATGGTAGGGGTAAGGGCTGATTGGTCACAGGTGTGACCTGATAGATGGGGGGTGAGGAGGCAGGGAAAGACTGTGGAATGGAAAAGTCTGGGATGTTTATGGATGCAAAACCAGTTTGGCTCTGTATTCTCCTCAAAATAAAAGCTGGCACAGGCTGGCACATTCCCAGCAAGAGCTTCTAGTGATGACTTCCTTGTAGCGGGAGAACTGGGAGCTAAGTGGGAGGGCAGCAGGGTACATCCTAAGAATAAAACCTCAGGATCATGGGGATGATAGAGGATATGAGCTACAAAATTAGGAATCCCTTTTGGGGAACCCATGTGCCTACTGGAAATTCCAAATGATGACATGTGAAGGAGGAGAATGGAGCCTTAATCTGGAGCAATAACTGGGGAGATGTCAGAGGTGAGCACAGAGAACTCCCGTTACCCCCCCCCCCCCCCCGCCAAGCAGCTCCAGCCATGAGTAGTCAGGAGGGGAGTGGAAAGTGGAGATGATAAGCAGGAGGACTGTGTGGAGTCCCAGCAGTGTAGAGGCCACAGTGTGTCCATGATACAGCAGTGCTGGACCCAGGCCCAGTCCGTGCTCCTGCGCTGTGGACCTCAGGGTCCCTCCTCTGCACCTATAGGTTCCGCACAGGGATGTCTCTGCTTCACTGAGCCCATCTGTCAGAATCTGGTCCACTTCTTCCTCTTTTGTGACTGGTAGTCACAAGGCAAAGTGCAAAACCACACAGTCACCAAGAGAGCACAGGCCTGAGGGGGGTTGGCAAGGAGAGTGGCAAGGAAGTCTTAGAGTGGTGGAAGGGACAAGTGAGGCTGAAAGACAAGTATGGCTGAGGCCATCACCTATGCAGACCTGAGGTTTGTGAAGGCCCCCCTGAAGAAGAGTGTCTCCAGCCGGTTAGAACAGGGTAAGCAGTATGGGGGGAGGGCTCCTCTATCCTGCATCCCTCCTTCCTTCATCACCCATCCCCCCCCACTCTCTCCTTGACTTGTGCTTTTCTCCCTCTTCTCTCCAGATCCAGAGGACTATGAGGATGGGGAGCTCACCTATGAGAACGTGCAAGTGCCCCCCGTCCCAGCGGGGGCCCCAAGCTTGGCTTCCTCTGGACCAGCTGACACAGCGAGTATGGAGAACTCACGGGACATATCTGTAGCTAGAGTGTCTGCAGTGGTTGGGGAGGGCGGACCCTGAGGAAAGGAGGAGGGCATTCTTAGGAAAGTCAAGAAGGAGGATAGGTTAAGTGGGAGTCACCAGAAGAGGAAGGACGCTAGGGGCAAGGAGGAGACAGACCCCAGAGGGGTGGTAGGTCCTTGAAGAGGGCTCAGGGCAGCCCTGGGGGCAATGGGCAAATAGGAAATGGGGATCCTGGGGAGAAAACTAAGGGAATGGAAGAGGGAGGAGAGCTGTGGGGCGAGGGGCACATATGGGCACTGGAGGAGAGGGTACAAGAACAGAGGGAGCTGGGGCAGGATGCAGAGAGTATGTGTTGTGGGGTGTGTGTTTGTGACAGAGGGTGAGACTCAGGAGCTTGCTGAGAGGGTCTCAGGGGAGCTGAGGAACTTCAAGAGTCACGTGGGTGTCCCAGGACATTGGTAGAGGGTAACCTAGGACAGACAGAGTGTGGAAGGGGAGAAGGGGCATTACTGGGGCTTCCTGTCTTCACCCGGGGTGCTCTCCTTCCGCAGGGGTCAAGGCCAAGCAGCCAGCTAAGAGATGCATGAAGCTATCAGCTAGTCAGGTTCTCCCCTGTGAGTATTGTCCTCCTTCCCCTCCCCCTGGTTCCCACCCCCCAGTTGTCCTTCCCAAGTGGCCATGTGGGTCAGGGTGGTGGACTAGGTTGCCTTCCCCATTCAGTCTCATCCCAGTATTATTCTAATAATGACATGTCATAGATCCATGGTCCAGATCACAATCCAACTTCCAAGTGTCCCTTTCTTTTCCTGGGGTGCAATTTCCCTTTCCCTCTACCAGGCAATGCTCTCAGCCCACCTTACCAGTAGAATTCCCAACCCTGATTTTGTGTGTGTGTGTGTGTGTGTGTGTGTGTGTGTGCTGGTCCTAGGGCTTGCACTCAGGGCCTAGGGCACTGTCTCTGAGTGTTTTTGCTTAAGTCTAGCACTCTTATCACTTGAGCCACAGCTCTACTTCTGATTTTTTGGTGGTTCATTGGAGATGAATCTCACTGACCTTCCTGCTTGGACTGGCTTTGAACCTCAATTTTTAGATCTCAGCCTTCTGAGTGGCTGGTGTTATAGGCATGAGACACCCATCCTTGATTCTGAAATACCCTGGCTCCCCTACATACAAAACATCCCACTGCCCCCAGCCCCCACTGCTCTGTCCTTAGCTATCTACTTAACCTTAACCAGGAGCTTCCTGACTTGAGTCCATAAATCCATTCCTGGGACTGACTGTCTCCAACCCCTGTCTCCTAAGGCCCCACCTCCACCTCCTGCTTGCAGTACCTCCTGCTCGGCCTGCTCCTCACCTGCCTGCTGTTAGGGGTGGCCACCATTTGCCTGGGAGTGAGCTGTGAGTATGGCGGACCCCCATTACCCTCTCACCCCAAATGTTTCTCTCCTTTTCCTCCAAACTGCCCTTTCTCATCAGGGCTCACAGATACTGCCCACCCCTCCATCCCCACTCCTTATTTTTGGTTTGGTTTAAGCCTGGTCTGTCTGAGAGTACATCACTGTCTTCCTACACTGTCCTTACTAATGCAGGATTTCTTAAGCTTTGTGCAGCCAGATCATAGATTTTAGCCTGCTTTGCAAAAGCTGCAGGAAGCAGAAAAAGGCTGATGTTAGGCAACAGGGCAGGGGATACACTTCAAGTTTTCTTTCTCAACAGGGTCTCGCTATATAGCTTAGGCTGAACTCAAACTCACAATCTTCCTGCCTCAGTCTTCTGAGTGCTGGGATTACAGGTACTCATTACCACACCCAGCCCCCTATCTGTCTTTATTGACAAACAGATCTGCAGTTGTCTCAGCAGTTCCAGCAGGTGACCAGGATTCTGGCAGCCACTAACAGCAGCCTGAGACAACAGCTCCGGGAAAGGATAACCAAGCTGGGGCAACAGGAGGAGAATCTGCAGGAATACAGGAGACAGCTGTCTCAGAGTCAGGAGATGCTACAGGAGGAACAGAGGGTTCACCAGGTAGCTGAGCAGCAGCTACAGGCCTGTCAGTTGGATCGGGAGCAGACCAAAGAGACCTTGAAAAGGGAAGAGGAACAGAGACAAGCCTTGGACCAGAGGCTGAACAGCATGCAGAACAGACTGAAGTCCTTCTCCACATGCTCTACATTAGGTATCTGCTCTGGGATAGGGGAGGTGGAAGAAGTGGCCAGGGTGGGGTGGAGACACTACTGGCTGGAATCAGGGGTCAGGGGTCAGTGAGATGTGGAAGAAAGAGACAGTGAACCAGAGTAGCGGCTGATCTGAGCTGTGCAGACTTGGGCATCAGGAGAAGGGCTCCCCCAGCTCTAAGGCAAATCCTGTGGGAGAAGAGAAGGGCAGCAGCTGCCCCCCCAAGTCACATCGTCCAAAGCAACATGGCGCATTCAGGTTTCACCTGGCTATCATTGTTCCCAGGATGTGGAAATCCCTTGAATTTGGATGTTAAGTTGGTTGAACTTTTTTCTTTTAAAGACAAGCACAATTTAAATTCTCACTACTTCTGAGACTCCAGCAAAAAGATTAAGAATCACCAAAGTGCAGTCTGGAAGTGGGGAGAAGAGGTAAAGTTCTCAGGGGTTGTGGCTTAGGGTATTTAGAAAACAGAAATCTAGCTGGTAGGTAGAGATGAGGGAAGGTACACCTGAAAAAGGAAAGATTGTGCTAGAGCAGACAGGTTCTAGCCAAGCATGTTGCCATCTTAAAAGGGACACTAGTGTCCATAGACTGTGGCTGGGATTAAGCTCTAGTTGGCTCAGAAGGCATCTGGCCACTCCCCAACTGGCCAGACTTAAGACAGCAAGATTCCTTGCGGATGCTCACAGCTGTTTGCCTTAACCTGATCCTCTATAGCTCTCCATCCCATGTCAGTGCTGCTGCCTATCCACACAGCAAAATCCCAGGCTGAAGATCAGTTGCAGACTTCTGCTTTGATTGAACTTCCAGCTTTCATGGTTTTCCCACACTACTTCTACCTCACTGAGACCTGCAACCTGTGGACTTGCAGTTCCTCCCATTCTGCAAGCCATTTCCTGCCTTCCCTTCTCCCTACCCATGTTGGATTCTGGGATCCATCACTCAGTCCTTTGTGCTCTTGTCCTACTGGTGCTTTGGACTGGTAAAGACCAAATGCTGGATGAGCCCAACTGACCACTTAGCCCAGACTGGCACCAAGATATGACAAATAGTGCAGTCAGCCTGCTTGGTGCCATTAAAAACCTAAGCACCACCTGGCAAGCTCTGCAGTGATGGGCACCTTCTGCACTACCATCCCCTCCACTTTCGGCAAGGGCCCTTCTCTGACTCCGTCAGAGAGCAATTCCCTCAAATTTCCATCAGCACGGCTATCTATCCATTTGCATTTTTGCCCATCTTGTCCTTTGCAAGGATAAATGCAATAACTTTCTGAGGGCTTTCCCCAACTATCCCACACCCCACCCAAACACAGTCCATTCTTCATACTGAAGGCAGAAGAGTTCTTTTTTTTGTTGGTCGTGGGGCTTGAACTCTGGGCCTGGGCGCTGTCCCTCAGCTCTTCAGCTCAAGGCGAGCACTCTACCACTTGAGCTACAGCGCCACTTCCGGCAGAAGAATTCTTTAGGAACACAAACGTGATCATGCCATTCCAGGCTAAATCATGTCTTTCTAGTTAATTATATAAACAGGTTAATGTAGCATGCGCTCAGACACCTGGAGACATAGCTAGTGAGAAAAATCCCCTTTTGTAAAACCCTATATTGATTTTCTCTTCCTCATAATATAAAAATAAAGCCAGGCCTAGCCACTCAGGATGGAGCTTCAAAGCCAGCCTGGACTGGAAAGTTCATGAGACTCTTATTTCCAAAGAACTGCTAAAAAGTGGGAAGTAGAACTGTGGCTCTAGTAGTAGTTAGCCTTGAGCAAAGAAGGCGAGATAGCACCTATACCCTGAATTCAAGCCCCAGGACTGGCACAAAAATAAAATCCTTAATAGAGCTTCTGAGGCCCCTACCGTACCAATTTATTTTTATTCCTTGGAGTTGCCCCCCCACCCCGGGGCCGTAGAATGGAGACATAGGAAAAGGTTGACAGAGGCAAGAAGCTGCTGTTTGAGTGACAGATAGGATTGATGGATGAAAGTGATGTTTTGGGATCAGGCACACAAGATGAAGTGTGGAATGTTAAAGAAGGATGTTTATTTCCTAGGGGAAATTAGGAAAAGAAGAACGGAAAAGACATAGAAATTTTTTTTTTTTTTGGTCGGCCATGGGGCTTGAACTCTGGGCCTGGTCGCTGTCCCTCAGCTCTTCAGCTCAAGGCGAGCGCTCTACCACTTGAGCTACAGCGCCACTTCCGGTTTTCTGGTGGTTTTATTGGAGATAGGAGTCTCACGGTCTCTCCTGCCCGGGCTGGCTTTGAACCGCGATCCTCAGATCTCAGCCTCCTGAGTAGCTACGATTACAGGCGTGAGCCACCAGCGCCCAGCAAGACATAGAAATTTTTAGGTGAAGATTGCTCACAATTTCAGCAAAGCAGGAAGCAAGGCTGTCTGGTGAAGGAAGAGTGGAGAGGAGCAGGAGGGAGCCAGTGGCGAGAGGAATGTGGCAAGGTTTTGAGTGGGTGGTAGGGAAATGCTTTAGGGAGCAAATGAGATGAATGAATGAGAGACCCATAGGGATCTAGGTGAAGTTAGCTGAAATGTCTCTGCTGATGGTAACTCCATGGCTACGATAATAAATCTTCCATTTTGGATGTGGTGGTGCAGGTCTAGAATCCCAGCACCCAGATGGAGGAGTGGAGACCAGACTAAGCCACATAGCAAGTTTCTGAGCTATGTAGCTGCACCCCATCTCACAAAACAATGTTTGAGAATATAGCTCAGTGGAAGAACATTTGCCTTGTACATCTGAGGCCATGGACTCAATTCCCGGCACTGGAAAAGAAATAAAAAAGACGACAAACCTGCCAGATTGTTAAGAAGAAATGCTGTTGAATGTTCCTAAATATACATAGGTAGGGTATTTCCAAGAGAGGACAAAGAAAAATTGCAAAGATTAAGGACCAGAGATCCACGAAGGAGCTGGGAGTAGACGTATTGTTAGCAAGCAGGTGGCTGAACAGTCACGTTCATCCCAAGTGAAGCTGCCATCATACTCTCTGCTTTGTAGATTCTTGCTGTCCAGTGGGATGGATGCAACACCAGAAAAGCTGCTTTTACTTTTCACATTTTCAGAAAACTTGGGATGAGAGTCAAAAGTATTGCACATCTTTGTCCTCCAAGCTGGCCACATTCCATGAAGTAAGCATCACCTTATCCCCAAGCTGAAGTGGGTACTGTTTGGTGAGGAGGTATGTATGTCAAGTTGGGAATGGCAGTGCATGCTGGCATGAACGCCATGGCTCAGGTTCCTTTTCCATGGCAGGTACTGGTAGTCACAATATTTGTCAAAGGAAACAGCTTCCAAATCTTCTTAGCCCTCCAAGTGTCTTCTCCTGCTCAGTTTGTATGAGAGCTGAATCTTCTCAACCATCTTTAATGTATGTCTTAGGTTTCTGGCCAGTCTCTTTGGGCTGCTTAATAGCTCATTGATTCTTGTGGCCTCTCAGAGAGGCAGAGGGGCTAGATCTTATAGACTGGATGGCAGGGACTTATTTCTTGGGACCTGAAGAGTCCACAGAATAACCTCATCCAAAGGATGGAAGAAATTCCTACCTAGCTGGGAGGTGAATCCTGCATCTGCAGAGTGGCACTTGAACAATTCAGAGACAAATTACTAATGATCTCTGTGTACCAAAGATAAGCACTCTTGCCAGAGTTCATGGGCCTTCTCCTCGAGTGCACATTTCATTAATTTTTCATTTCTTCCCACATACCTCAGATCTGATTCTCTCCACAGGATACGACCTTCAGCATGCGTGAATTTTTGTCAAATATGAATATATATTCATATTGGGCCAAATCTAAGGCGCAGTGGATTAGTAATTCACAACACTTTGGGTAAGTCTGAGAGGATACCTGGATATTTTCAACTCCATTAATCTTCTCAGAAGACAGAAATAAAATTTCGTCAAGTCCTGCTCCCAAAACTCTTCTGCAAGTCAATGTTGTAACTATTTGTTTATTCCCTCTATTTGGTTAATAACTCTTTAGGGTAGTCTTACTCCCTTCCATCCCTAGTACCTAAAGGTCCCTGGAATGTACTGTTGAGATCTGTATCATCATTCAGAAGGGGATGAGAATTTAGCTAAGGCTTTATAGCCAATGAGGAAAAACAGCCTTTGAACTTCCATTCCTCTCTTAACAAGGCTATCAAACTGAGGCTGTCTTTCAGACAGGCCAATTAGGGTAACAGCTGTCCCAGGAAAGCGAGCAAGACAGCAGTGACAGACTGAGGACTTAGCCCTCTGGACTCCACAACAGGGTAGTCACCTCCTCACACTTCTGTATTTGGAGTTTGCATCATTAGGACTTTCGGTGACTTCCCTCCCCTGGTTCTAAAGCTTCTAGCTGTAGTTTAGCCATCAGCTCTTGAACAATGGCCAGAAGTAGCCTTAGGCAGGCAGGGTGAGCTAGGTTTAATGGCAGCAGGGGGAGGAGGATAGACTAGGAATAGTCCAGACTATATCCTAGCTCTACTCTTTTCTTTAGGACTCATCATAAAAACCCAAAATGTCCCAAGGTACAAATGTGGTCATGGCCACGGATAACGGAAGAGAAGTGTACAGAGACTCTCTTCTTCATCTGTGAGCGGGAAACTTTCAGGTCTCCAGATGAGACTGATCTTTGAATTGAGTTGGGTAAGTGAGAGGGTTAGGACTGAGGGGTTGTGTCCAAGGAGGGAGGGGAAACTTGTTCGTGGGTTTTGATTATCACATCCACAAATCCATAGATTTGTCCTGCTTCAGTAAGAGCAGGTAAGACCTAGAAAGGAAGGAAGGCTTATGACAAGGCTTTCCAGGGGGAGAAGATAAGAGTAAGCTGGATGAGGATTTAGTGCTAATCATGTCTAGCTCACTGATGTTTTACTCTTCTAGACTCCAACCAACAAGAACTTGGGACGATCATCCTTAACCTGTGACTGAAGGTCATCATACCAGGGCATTCCTTCACTCTAGGCATAGCTAGCCAAAGGCTGAACCATGTCGATACTTCTAGCCAGCCTATCATCTGCTTGAAATTGTCCCTGAAACTGAACTGTTCCTGCGAAGAATAAAGTGAAGTCCTCTAGAAAGGACTTTGGCCTTCCTCAAGGACCTCCCATACTGGAAATGGTGGGGGGAGGAGGGCGCAGGGGCAGAGTGGATGGGGCGGCCCGGAGCCAGCCAGGCAGTTTTATTGACATATTTTTAAATAATCTGCACGTGTTAGTCTTGTGCGTCAGCAATGCTGTGTGGTTCAGTGATCCCCGGGGAGAGCAGGCCCAGGGTTGGATACAAAGTGCTCTGTCCATCGAGTCCATGCTGAGGCTCCCTATAGGGAGAAGAGCCGGTCAGCCATGTGGGGCTGACACTGTCCAGTAAGTGCACTCTGTCCTCACAGGGTGTCCTCAGACTAAAGTTGGAGGCCTGAGATCACAGGCCCCACTGCTAAGAGCGTGCCCCAGGCAGCTGCAGGCTGGGTGTGGGTGGCTTGGCATGGTGCCCTCGGTGGCAGAGAAGACTGCCTGCCTCACAGTTCAGGTTGCGGTAGCGGGCAACAGCTGGAGTGGGACGGGGGCACATGGACAGGAAGCCAAAGCTGAAGGGGCCAAGGCAGCAGCCAGGACAGGGCAGCCCGTCCTCAGGCTCCCGGGAAGTGGCAGGGGGTGGTGAGGGTTCTGTCCGCTCCAGGGCTGCTGCTCGGGGCAGGCTATGCTGGGCCCGGTTCCAGGACTCCCCAGCCCAGCCTTGTGGGGAGTTCACCACCACAGCTGGGGGGTTGTTGTTGAGGGGAGGACCTGATCTAGGGGACCAGGGTTGGGAGGCTGAAGAACAAGTACTGATGAAGTTGTCTGTAGCCACAGCAAGGGGAAGCTGGGGAGCAGGTCCTGGGGGTTCTGGTTCTGGGCTACTGCCTTCACACTCCATCTTTTCTTCAGCTGAGGGACCCATGGGGGGTGGGCCGGGACCTGGCAGTGCAGTCTCCATACGACGGGGGAGCTCAGGGGATGAGGGTAGTGAGCGGCAGCGTCGGAGAGGCGTCCCAGGCTGGATCAGGTTCTCTGGTGTGCTCACCAACGGCAGCTGAGTGGAGGGCAGTGGTGACGGTGGTACCAGGGGCAAGGGGGTGACCGGCCTGCAGGGTGTGTCCAGAAGCTTGATCTTGCCACCCCTGAGGTCTTCCCGTAGTGAGAAGGGGTTGACTCGAGTCAGATTGTCCCCCCAGTTTGGGGGTGATTCTGGTGATGGGGGCAGGAAGAGGTCTGACCGGCTTCGGGAGAGCCGGGGGTCAGGCCTTGGAAGCGTGGCGGAGAGACCTCCTCTTGGAACAGATCCTGTAGAGAGAAGCCTGTGATCACTGTTCCCAGCATTTGAGCAGAGCTCTGGAGGGCCTTGCTATCTTCCAGGAGCTCGTTAAACTAGAGCTTAGAAAAGGGATCCCACAGGATGCTTCAGAAAGTGGGGAAATGTCACCTCCAACCACCTTTCACCTCTTCTTTCCTTCCTCTGCTCCTCAGACTCTACCAGTAGAAAAGTATCTGCTTTCGGATGTCTTCCCACCCCACCCTACGCCAACTCCCAGCCTTCTCACCTAATAAACCCACTTGGCTTCCTCCAGATAACTCTGAGTTCTAAGGAGAAAGGACGAGGGCTTCTCCATTGGGCCCATGGCATGCTCACTTACCCTGATTGTGTATCAGGGGAGTCCGGGCAGGGGGGGCTGGCTCAGGCAGCTGCTCCAGGATCCATTCCAGGTGCTGGGTGATCTCAGTGAAGGGGGCACGAGTGCTGGGCTCCATCTGACAGGTAGAGACAGGGTAGCTTCTTTATTCAGTGCTCTTAAAGAGGGTACCTGAGTTTTATTCCCGTCACCTGGGGCCCGCGGGCAGCCATGGCATGGGTGGGGGTTGTCTGCCAGGAGGAGAGTGGGGCTCTTACGCTGCAGCAGTGGATGGCCAAGAGCAGGAAAGGCAGTGGGCAATCATCCCCTACCAGGGTTCGGAAAGCAGGCACATCTAGGCCAAAGTCCTGTGAGGAGAGAGAAGGGGCCAAATAAGCCTTCCTTGGCTTCTTCTGCATCCCTATGAGGCCCTCAGCCTCCAAGGCGCCCGCCTCAGTTAGGAGCTACTTATTCTGGAGGTGCCCGTTTCACACCAAGACATTCACCTCAGTACGGGGTAGGTAGTCAGGGTCTGCAGGTACCCGGGCGATGAGCTCACAGAGAACGATCCCAAAGGCAAAGACATCAGCCTAGGATCAGCAGAAAATGTCAAGAGGAGGAGCAGACAGTTTTCATGCGCTGGAATGGGGATTCGGGCGCGGAGGAACGGTGGGGTTCCTGAATATCTGGTTAGAGAGGTTGCTGGGATGGAGCCTTAATATTTCAAGGGTCTGGGGAGGGGGGCTTCGGGCTCTGAAGGGTTGGTGTCTTACCTTCTCATCGTACAGCTCACCCCGCAAAACCTCTGGAGCCATCCAATATGGGGAACCCACCACAGCCAATGGCTCCTTCCTTGCTCCTTCCCTGCAGGAGCAGGTGGTCAGAAACATCTAAGTGTCCTTCCCAGGCAAGAGCCCCCACCCTACCCCAAGGGGAACATCATTGAGGGCTTCACTTAGATGGACTGCCTTTGGGGGGGGGTGTTGGGGGTAACAAGGGCATTCACCTCACCTATACACAGGAATCTTTTCAGCCAGCCCAAAGTCACCCACAACAGCTGTGAAGCCTTGGTCTTCCCGCCGGACCAGACAGTTCTGGCACACACACACATGCATACATAGGCATCCTATGATCATCTTCTGATCTCTGGTCTCCCAATATATACCCAAAGCCCTGCCACTCATGTGTAGCTCCAACCTTCCCTCCCAATTCTTCAATGCATCCCACTACTGCAACATCATTCAACACGCCAGTGGTACTCAGTCCTTCAGAACAGTTCCCTCACCACGGCCTCCCCCCCTCAATATTCCCCAATACTTTGCCACTCCAATATCATCATGTATCTGTTATTCACATCCTAACATCCACAGACTAATCATAACCAAATAACCTCAAATTCCTTCATGGCCCTATCCACCTCCAGCCTACCTTAGATGTGAGGTCTCGGTGGAATACACCCTTG